AGCGCCTGGGCGCTGTCCCTGAGCTTTTTTTGCTCAAGGCTAATGCTCTACCATTTGAGCCACCGCTCCACTTCTGTTTTTTTTGGGTAGCTAATTGGAAAGTCTCATGGACTTTCCTTCCCCAAGCTGGCTTTGAACTGTGATCCTCAGATTTCAGCCTCCTGAGCAACTAGGATTACAAGTATGAGCCCCCAGCACCCAGCTCCATGAGAGTCTTGCCTTCAGTTAACCTGCAAAAAGACAGAGTAGAGCTGTGCTCAAGTGGTAGAGCCGCAGCCTTGGGTCCTGAGTTGAAGCCCCTACTACCAGCACCGAAAAAAAAAGTCTTTTTCAATTACCCTCTGGCAGAGTTCCTTCTCCAGCTCTGACAGACACTGCGTGTGGAAAACCCGCTTCTCGCGCCCTCCAACAGCACTCTACCCCTGTTTCCCATCTTCCAGAATGTAGTGAGGGTTCATTTGAAATTGTTCCTTCCGGGCTGGGAAGGTGGCTCAGTGGTAGAGCGCTTGCCTTGAATGCATGAGGCCCTGGGTTCCATTCCTCAGCACCACATAAGCAAAAAGAAAAAAGCCGGAAGTGGCGCTGTGGCTCAAGTGGTAGAGCGCTAGCCTTGAGCTGAAGAGCTGAGGGACAGCGCCCAGGTCCAGAGTTCAGGCCCCACAACCGGACCCCTCCAAGAAAGAAACAAAGAAATTGTTCCTTCCAGGCTGGGAAGCTGCTCAATGGTAGAGTGCTTGCCCCTCATGCATGAGGCCCTGGGTTCAATTCCTCAGCAGCATATAAAACAGAAAAAGGTGGAAGTGTCGCTGTGGCTCAAGTGGTAGAGCACTAGCCTTGAGCTGAAGAGCTGAGGGACAGCGCCCAGGCCCAGAGTTCAAGCCCCACGACCGACAGGAAAAAAAAAAAAAAGAAGAAATTGTTCCTCCCTACCTTTCCTTAGCCTTGTTTTCTTTCATCGTAATGTATCAAGTAACAGATGCAAACAATGCACCTGACCCTGTTTTGAAGTGGCCGCCCGAGATGTTTAAGCAATGACAACGGGCTGATTTATGCAAGGTTCTCATTGCGATTCCATCCCCCATTTTGTTTAAACGGGGTGTGTCCTGCCCATGCTGGGGTGCGGGCTGCCTCAGCCGTGAGCGCCACCTGCCAGCTCTGAGTAAATACTGCACAGGGATTCTGCAGTTTATTCATTGTTCTTAGTGAGTAATGTTGACTCTCTCTTACATTTTTTCCCCTTTTCATAGTAGTGAAACCAGATGCAAAAATGTAGATACTTTGGGGGGGAAAAGACAAGTATTACCTGGGATCTTGCTGATCAAACGTATCAGCACTAAAGAGTAGCACCTCATCCTCTCAAGTTACCATTGAATATTAGAGGAGGAGCTTGGCTTCCTCATGTTTCCAGTCCTGTCTCCTGTCTCACCATAGCTGAATAGAAATACTGTCTTTTTTTATGGTGACGGGGAACCCAGAGCCTCATATACACCCTCAGTTCACAACTAGTACCTTTGTGCAATCAGTAATAACCAGCACCTATTTAATGCATCTGTCCTGTCATGGCTGGCATTCGTGAATGCTGGAGCACTGTGGCGGCCCATCTGAGCAGGGTGGAGTAGGATGAGGATGTAGGATGGTTCATGAAGACCCACTCCAATGGGGCTCCGGGCAGGGTGAGGTGCTAGCTACCCAATTACAGGAAGACTGGCCACAGCTGTGCTAGGGAAGGGATGGGAGGGGACTAGAGCTATTTCCTATCGCCAGGCCAGCTCTGCTCAGCGACTGAAAATATCATCAGCCGTGGTTCTCTCCTAATGTTCCTTCCTTCCTTCTTTTTTTCTTTCTTTCTTTCCTTTTTTTTGTGCCAGTCCTGGGGTTTGAACTCAGGACCTGGATGCAGCCCCTGAACTTTTATGCTCAAGCTTCATACTCTACCACTTGAGCCACAGCTCTACTCCCAGCTTTTTGGTGGTTAATTAGGGATAAGAGTCCCACAGACTTTCCCGCCCTGGCTGGCTTTACACTGGGACTCTCAGATCTCATTCTCTTGTGTAGCTAGGATTACAGGCGTGAGCCACTGGTACCTGGCCCAAAGTTTTTCTTGATTAAAAGCAAGCCTGAGGGGCTGGGAAGGTGCCTCAGTGGTAGAGCGCTTGCCTTGCATGCCTGAGGCCCTGGGTTCGATTCCTCAGCACCACATAAGCAAAAAAATAAAAAATTAAAAAAAGCAAGCCTGAGTTGAAGCTACAGCTTAGAGGTAGAGTACTTCCTCTGGGTTAAATTCCCAGCTTGAAGAGGGGAAGGGAAGGGGTGTGTCTCTTTCTTTCTTTTTTTTGTTGTTGTTGTTGGTCACAGGACTTGAACTCTGGGCCTGGGCGCTGTCCCTCAGCTCTTCAGCTCAAGGCCAGCGCTCTACTGCTTGAGCCACAGCGCCACTTCCAGTTTTCTGGTGGCTTATTGGAGCTAAGTGTCTCACAGACTTTCCTGCCCAGGGTGGCTTGACCCGAGATCCACAGATCGCAGCCTCTTGAGTAGCTAGGAGAACAAAGAGGCTCAGGGACAGTGATCAGGCCCTGAGTTCAAGCCCCCTGACTGACAAAAAAAAAAAAAGTTTTTTAGCTGCCAGAGTCTTTCCTTAGGAAAACAAACTCTCCAAGAGTCCTGGAACTTCACTAAGGATCTGGGAGCAGAGCTTATTTCTCTCCAGACATGGTTTTGGGGTCTCAGTCGTGTGGGAAAAGCTCAAGTTTCTCTGCTTAGTGTGGGGTGATTCTCATAAAACGCAGCCTGGGCTTTTAGCATATTTTGCAGAAACCAGGCGTGCAGATGTGGCTGGCGGAGGGGCGCTCGGAGCAAGAAGGACACAGGCTTTGGTTGGGGCCTGCTAAGCAGAGCTAGGCAGACAAGTCTGAGGAGTCAGGGCTGGAACCCTGAGCAGCCTTCAAAGGCCAGCACAGGGAGCAGTGGGTATAGTTAAACTGTGAGTCACGTGACTGGACTGGACTGGAGCAGAAAACATGTTTTCCTTTAAATGATTAAACTTAGTTGAACTTAGTTCAAGAAAATTTTCTTTTCCACTGAATTTTTTTTTTTCAGGCTTAAAGGGTTTTCAGATGTGATTTGTTTTCTTAAAGTGCAAACTGCTATCATTAGCTTCCAGACTAGACACATCTGTGGACTTGGAACACCCAATAGCAGCAAATAATGGATCTGGCCCATTGCCCGCAACTGCCTGGTTAAGAATATGGGGAGGGGTGGGGTGAGGATACAGATGCTTTCTTCTTTTCCCACTTTTTCTTTTGGTGCTGGTACTAGGGCTTGAACTCAAGGCCTCAGCTCTCTCTTGGTTTTTTCTTCTGCTTCTGGTGATCTCCCACTTGAGTCACACCTCTACTTCCGGCTTTTTGCTGGTTAATTGGAGATAAGAGTCTCCCAGACTTTTCTCAGCCTCCTGAGTAGCTAGGATTCCAGACAAGAGCCACTGGGGCAAAGCTTTCTTAATTCTCTTGATACATGAAAATAATTGGACGTGGATTAGAGCCATTTGTTGGGTGTGAAGTTTGTTTTTATCTCACAGATACATTGTACTCATGGCACCCAGTGGATGGTAGTCCTTAGGAGGGCTCCCCAATGCTCCTGGTGGCCATCTGACAAAGTTTGCTTTAATTGACCTTTATGCTGACTGACTGACGTTTGATCTCGTGTACCCATGAGGGCTGGTTCACGACCACCTCGCGCAGGGACTTGAACCTTCCCAGGCCACACCTTTTGTCAGCACTCCCGTCAACTAAAGGATGTGCGGAGCTCATACCTGGCCCAGGTGGACCTCCGCAGTTGTACCTGGGCACTGCAGGACTTCAGGGCATCCGGACGCCTTCAGCAGCCGTCTGAAGCAAGCAGGCTCCACAGTCCACCAGGAAAAGGTCTGACTCGGGGGTCAGTCTATAATGTCTGTTTCCGAAGCCGCGCAGTAATGGCTGGGGAAGGTGCGCCCACATTCCATTTCACAACAGTCTGAACCAGAGTCAGGGTCAAAGCCAAGGTCATCCTCAAGGTCATCCTCCCGATGGTCCCACCGCCCCACCTGGGAAAGGAGTGCTGGTTTTTGGTGTTGTTTTTCCAATCATGGGCCTTGAACTCCCGGTCCTTGGGAGCCAGCCTCCAGGTGTTGGGGTACAGGCGGACACTCCCCTAACATGCTCCTCGGTAGGGGTGGCTCCTAGGTCTGGGAACCCCGGGGAAGGGGGCGGCAGGTCATCCGGGGCGTGGGACCAGCCCACGGGTGCGGGGGAACGAAAGCCAGCGTGGGCCGGCCGCGGAGGGGGGCGGGCCGGCCGCGGAGGGGGGCGGGCCGGCCGCGGAGGGGGAGGGGGGCGGGCCGGCCGCGGAGGGGGAGGGGGCGGGCCGGCCGCGGAGGGGGAGGGGGCGGGCCGGCCGCGGAGGGGGGCGGGCCGGCCGCGGAGGGGGAGGGGGCGGGCCGGCCGCGGAGGGGGGCGGGCCGGCCGCGGGAGGGGGCGGGGAGGGAGGCGGCGCCCGCCCCTCCCCCAGCAGGCCGCCCGCGCCCCTGCGGTGCCGCCTCCAGGGTGCAGCCCCCCCCCTACTCCCAGTGGGTGGGGCTCCAATAACGCCCGCCCCTTCTTCCCCTCCCCCTCGGATCCCTTCCCCCTCCCCCTACCTTGCGGCCTTCACCACTACCCACCCCCCAACGGCCCCCTGCCCCGCTGCTGCGCGCCCCCGGCGGCCCTCTCCACCGCGCCCCCATCCGGAGCCCCCCCCGTGCCGCCTCGGCCCCGCCCCTCGCAGATCCCCAACTCTGGCCTGGGACGCGCCCCCTCGAGCCCCGCAGTCTTGGTGGCCTCTACTCGTGGCTCCCCCTCCCCGCCCCGCCGCGCCCCCCTCCCCACTGCCCCGCGCCCCCCCCCCGGCGGTCCCCCTTCCCCGCCCCGCCCCGCCCCGCCCCGCCCCGCCGGCCCGCGGGCTCCGGGTCGGGAGCGCGCGCCATGGGCAGCGGGAGCAGCCGGAGCGGCCGGGCCCTGCGGCGGCGGCGCGGCCCCGACGGACCCCCGGCGGCTGCGGGCCACGCAGCAGCGGCGGTGGCGGCGGGAGGGCCCGGGCCGCGGGGGCCCCCGGGAGCGGGGCGGGCCGCCGGGACCGCGGAGGCCGCGGCGGGCGGCGATCCGGGCCCCGCGGCGCCCCCCGACGGCCGGGCCGAGACCCTGCGCCTGCTGGACCAGCTGCTGGCCGAGTCCGAGGCCTGGGGCCCCCCGGAGCCCGGCCCGCGCCGCCCGGCCCGCGAGCGCCCCGCCGACCGCGCGGTGAGTGTGGGCGCCGGGGCTCGCGCCGCGCACCCCGACTCCGTCCCTGCCACCCCCCGCACCCCACTCCGTCCCTGCCACCCCCCGCACCCCGACTCCGTCCCTGCCACCCCCCGCACCCCGACTCCGTCCCTGCCACCCCCCGCACCCCGACTCCGTCCCTGCCACCCCCCCGCACCCCACTCCGTCCCTTCCATTCCCCCGCACCCCACTCCGTCCCTGCCACCCCCCGCACCCCGACTCCGTCCCTGCCACCCCCCGCACCCCGACTCCGTCCCTGCCACCCCCCCGCACCCCACTCCGTCCCTGCCACCCCCCGCACCCCGACTCCGTCCCTGCCACCCCCCCGCACCCCACTCCGTCCCTTCCATTCCCCCGCACCCCACTCCGTCCCTGCCACCCCCCCGCACCCCGACTCCGTCCCTTCCATCCCCCGCACCCCGACTCCATCCCTCCCCCCGCACCTCGACTCCACCCCACTCCCCGCGGTCGGGCCGCACCCCGACTCCACCCCACTCCCCGCGGTCGGGCCGCACCCCGACTTGGTCCCGCATCCTCGCTCCTGCGGCCCTGCGTTTCCTCTCCCCGCTCGAGTGAGGCCCGGCCTCCCCTTTGGGGTGGCGGCGGGGGCGTCCTGGCAGCCGGGCGCAGGCTGGGTGGGGGGAGTCGGGCGATGCCGGGCGGCGGGGGGACCGGGCGATGGGGGGCGGCGATCTCGGGGGGCCGGGCGGGGCGCCCCCTGCCCCCACCACTGGGGGACACGGGGAGGCCGGGGTAAGTGGGTGGCCGCCGCCAGTGTGGGAGCGGCCTGCGGCGCCGGGCCCGGGGGTCGCAGCCCCTTCCCTGGCCGGCGCCCCAGGCCCTGGGAGAGGAAGCAGAGCTGCCAGGCGCCTGTTACATAACCCGATTCCTGCGGCCGCCTCGCCTCCTCCTTATGTAAAGACTTCCAGAAGGGTCCAGAGCCTGACCAAAACTGCAAGAATGGGCTTCCCAAAGTCCTGTCTAGGGGGACCCCTTGGTCGGCCCTGTCTTGGGGGGAACCCCTTGGCCGGCTCTGTCTTGGGGGACCCCTTGGTCAGTCCTGTCTTGGGGGAACCCCTTGGCCAGCCCTGTCTTGGGGGGACCCCTTGGTCAGTCCTGTCTTGGGGGACCCCTTGATCGCCCCTGTCTTGGGGGGACCCTTTGGTCAGTCCTGTCTTGGGGGGAACCCCTTGGCCGGCCCTGTCTGGGGGGGAACCTGTCTCCGGGGACCCCTTGGCCGCACTCACCTGCCACCCTCCCTAAACAAGCCCTGGTGAAGAGGCAGGCAGAGCCAAATGGCCCTGGAGGCTCAGGTAATCCTAGCTACTCAGGAGGCTGAGGTCTGAAGCCAGCCCGGGCAAGGAAGTCTGTGAGACTTTTTTTTTTTTTTTAATTGTTGGTCGTGGGGCTTGAACTGTGGGCCTGGGCGCTGTCCCTCAGCTCTTCAGCTCAAGGCAAGGGCTCTACCACTTGAGCCACAGCGCCACTTCCGGTTTTCTGGTGCTTTATTGGAGATAAGAGTCTCATGGACTTTCCTGCCCCGGCTGGCTTTGAACCACGATCCTCAGATCTCAGCCTCCTGAGTAGCTAGGATGACAGGCGTGAGCCACCTGCACCCCGCAGGCTGTGAGACTCTTTTAACTCCAAAGAACCACCAGAAAAACGGAAGTGGAGCTGGGGCTCAGACTGGTAGAGAACTAGCCTTAAAGGAAAAAGCGCGGGACTGAGCCTAGGCCCTGAACTCACGCCTCAGGACTGATTAAAGAAAAACAAAAAAGCCAGGCACCTGTCATCCTAGCTACCCAGGAGGCTGAGATCTGGGGATCATGGTTCAAAGGCAGCCCAGGCAGGAAAGTCTGAGAAACTCTCATCTCCAAAGAGCCACCAGAAAACCAGAAGTGGCGCTGTGGCTCAAGTGTTAGAGTGCCCACCTTGAGCAGCTGGTACTGTCCCTGATAGAGCTGAGGGACAGCGCCCAGGCCCAGAGTTCAAGCCCCATGACCTACCAAAACAAAAAAAAATCCACTTTGGATCTCCATGGCTTTGGATGAGGTCCCGCCAGGAGGGACCAGGTGTTCCCGAAGGCATTGGAAAGCTCTTGGACCGACCTTAGTGAGGGAAGGAAGGTGTGGCCATGGGCTGAGGAGGTTTTTGACCTGTGTTCCAGACTCCATTACGTTTGCTATGTGTGGACATCAGGGCATTTGGACTTCACTGTGAGGGTGGGGGGGTCTTGGAAGAGTCAGGGGCGGGAACTTGGTATTGGAAGGTTTCACCTGGGCCCCTAAAGTCATCCAGGTGACCGAGGCCTGGACCCCAGCAGCGCAGGATGCGCTTAGGAAGTAAATAATCCTGGGGACTACCTTGTGGATATCTCCTGTATTGTTTCTCGAATGAATGAATCCTAGAACTTACTTTTTTGGAACTATCGAGGGAGCAGGGAGCTCTGGCCTAGTTTGTTAGGACTGGCGATCTGTCTAGTCACTTCCAGTTTTCCAACAATGAGTGTGTGAGCGGAGCAGGCCCACACACTGGGAAGTTTCAGGATCTCCTTTTGCAGTCTATGCCTTTTATGCTTTCTATCTACCTGCGCATGGAGAATCACCAGATTGTTACCATCTCAACGAAAACCTAGGAGCCAGGCCCCGGCGGCTCTCACCTGTAATTCTATGTTATTCAGGAAGCTGAGTTCTGAGGCTTGAGGTTCAAAGCCAGCCAGGGCAGGAAAGTCCATGAGACTCTTATCTCCAACAAACCACCAGGAAATGAAGTGGTGTTGTAGCTCAAAGTGGTAGAGTGCTAGCCTTGGATGAAAGAGCTCCGGGACAGCACCCAAGCTCTAAGTTCAAGCCCTATGGCTGACCAAAAATAAAATAAATAAGGGCTGGGAAGGTGGCTCAGTGGTAGAGCGCTTGCCTTCCATGCTTGAGGCCCTGGGTTCGATTCTTCAGCACCACATAAGCAGAAAAAAAAGCCGGAAGTGGTGCTGTGGCTCAAGTGGTAGAGCACTAGCCATGAGCTGAAGAGTGCCCAGGCCCAGAGTTCAAGCCCCGTGACTGGACCCCTCCCCCCCCCAAAAAAAAAGTAAAATAAATAAAGCCCAGGCAGTAGCTCCTAATTTTGTAATTTAACGTTTAAAAGGAAAGTATGATGGGAATGGAGCTTATCTTTTTTTTTTTTTCCATTTGCTTCCTGGTAGCTAATATTTTAATCAGCTCAGCAGATGTCTCGAACCCTTGTCCCAGCTTGAAGGTCAGGGTCAGCAGCCCACTCCGGTGTCTGCTCAGGGTGAGCCGCTTCCACCGGAAGCACAGATGCGTAATCTCTGTTTAATATGCTCGTCCCTGCCGGGCACTGGTGGCTCATGCCTGTAATCCTAGCTACTCAGGAGGCTGAGATCTGAGGATCGCGGTTCAAAGCCAGCCCGGGCAAGAGAGACCGTGAGACTCCTATCTCCAATAAACCACCAGAAAACCGGAAGTGGCGCTGTAGCTCAAGTGGTAGAGCGCTCGCCTTGAGCTGAAGAGCTGAGGGACAGCGCCCAGGCCCAGAGTTCAAGCCCCACGACCGACAAAAAAAAAAAAAAAATATGCTCGTCCCTACATGGCCCTTACTGGTGTGTTTTCCTGAGGTGTGTGTGTCACTGGTTTCAGGGGTTTCAGGCAGAAGAAAGCGGGAGGCCGTGGCTCCGGCCCCAGTCTCGGTTTCTATGAAACGGGGTCACCCCTCACCATCCCTCAGAAGCACTTCCGATGTGGGAAAGGCCCTCCGATGCCCCAGAGCTCTTCCTTCAGAACACCCGAAGAGCCAGCGCTTCGCACACCAGCCCTTCCTTAGCCAAGCCCATGCGTAGGGGCGGGGCGGGGCGGGGCCAGGGAGCTGGCGCGGTGGAAGGGGCGCCCCAGCCCTCTCTCCTCATTCAGGGCTGTGGCAAGAACACACGCTTGCGTGGCACGAAGGGGCTTTAGATTGGTGTGGGAGAGGATGAGTGGCAGCTGGATGCCCACACCATGTCGGGAAGTGAGCGTTAGGAAACGGAGTCATGAGTATTAGGAAAGATCAAGCGGGCAAGAGGAGAGAAAGGAGCCGAGACCCAGAGCCCCGAGCAGGCGTCAGTCATGGCTGCAGAAGGGCTCCATGGAACACGACGCAGGGCCGGGGAGACAAAGAGTGGGGAGCGTGAGCAGTTTGGGGAGACTCTTCTTTGGATTTTGGGCCTGAACTCTGGGCCTGGGCGCTGTACCTCAGCTCTTCAGCTCAAGGCAGCGCTCTACCACTTGAGCCCCAGCACCACTTCTGGTTTTCTGGTGGTTAATTAGAGATGAGTCTCACAGACTTTCCTGCCCGGGGCTGGCTTTGAACTGTGATCCTCAGATCTCAGCCGCCTGAGTAGCCAGGAGGACAGGCGGAGCCACCGGCGCCCGCTTTCTTTGTAATTTCTTTGTCCTGTGGGAGATTTACTGTTCGAACTGTGTTGTTTGGGATTTATGGTACAAACTGTCCTATTTGGGGCTTTCTGTGTGTGGGGAGGTTCCTCTCCTGAGGCCAACGTGCTGCGCTTTTCGATGAGGTCGGGTGAGGTTTTCCTGAGGCCCAGGAGGCCCCCAGGGGAGGGCGTCAGTGGGCCACTGGAGCAACATGGAGTTGAGTTCTAAGGGCAAAGCCAGATTCCCATCAGTGGGCCCAGGAAGGGATGCGTCAGGCAGCAAGTGCGTCCCCGCATCCCAGCAGAGGAGGGAGACCTCCCAGCCCGCACAGCATCAGAAGAGCTGCGCAGCCGTGGAAGGACGGAGCGGGCCTCACGGAGGAACCGCGTGCAGGGAATGCAGCGCGAAGGAGCAGAGAGTTGGGGTCAGTGTGTCTGGAAGCCCGAGACACAGGTTTGGGTCATGGTCCTGTTTTCAGGCTAAGATGCTGAACTGTAGATAGTGGGGAGCTGCTGGAATTTTTCTGTGCCTTATTATTATTATTGTTATTATCATTATTATTTTGCCAGTCCTGGGACTTGAACTCAGGACCTGGGCACTCTCCCTGAGCCTCTTTTTGCTAAAGTCTAACTAGCACTCTGCTACTTGAGCCACAGCACCACTTCAGGCTTTTTCTGTGTATGTGGTGCTAAAGAACTGAACTCAGGGCCTCATGCATGCCAGGCAAGCACTCTACCACTGAGCCACCTTCCCAGGCTTGTGCTTTATTATTCTTTTTTTTTTCTTTTCTTTTTTTTTGGGTCCTGTCGTGGAGCCAGAACTCTGGGCCTGGGCGCTGTCCCTCAGCTCTTCAGCTCAAGGCTAACGCTCTACCACGTGAGCCACAGCACCACTTCCGGAATTTTTCTTTTTACTTATGTGGTGCTGAGGAATCGAACCCAGGGCCTCATGGGTGCTAGGCAAGCACTCTACCTCTAAGCCACCTTCCCAGCCCCCTTCAGTTTTCTTTCTCTGTGGCTCTCGAAGCTTCTCCCTCAATCACCATCCTCACCAACAGACAGGGCACTGGCCTGGCAGGCGCACGGCAGGCCGCGTCTCCAGAGCCACTTTGGGAAAAGCCCCGTTCCCCAGCAATGTCCACCTCCGGCCTGAAGCTTGAAGCAGGGCTTCCTGGAGGACTGACTGCTGGGCAGGGCAAGCAGCACCCTCTGGTGGTGAGCGACAATAGACAGGCAAAATCTGGGAACTTGTGGAAGCTGAGATGAGATCATCGTGCTGCGCTCTCTCTCCTGCACCTGTTCAGGTTTCCATACTAAAACCTTAGCTTCCTGCCAAACTTCAGAGGAAAGCCCAAGTATGTCCATTCGGTGGAGCAGAAGGGTCTGCGGTTCCCAGTGTGTCATCATACACTAATATCAACTCAAAGTGGAGCAAAGATCTCAATGTCAGACCTGAAACTTTGAAATTACTGCAAGCGGGAGTAGGAGAAGCATAGAACTCACAGGCAGACGTTTTTGAAGAGTCCCAGGGGCACAGCAGAGAGGAGGGAGACTTGACAAATGGGATTACGTCAAACTAAAACATTTCTGCACAGCAAAGGACGTGGCTACCAAACTAGAAAGACAGCAACAGACTGGAGAATGTATCTACCAGCAATACATCTGACAAAGGCCTATATCCAAAATATACAAAGAGCTAAAGAAACAAACCCCTCTCAAAGCTAATAAGCCAATCACAAAATGGGAAAAGGAGCTAAGGAGAGACTTCGCAGCAGAGGTAAGAGTGGCAAAGAAACACATGAGGAAATGCTCATCATCCCTGGCCATAAAGGAAATGCAAATCAAAACAACTCTAATTTTTATCTCATTTCAGTTAGATTGGTCAACATCCTGAATTCAAACAACAAATGTTGATGGGCATATGGAGAAAAAAGAACCCTACTGTGTGCTGCTGGTGGGAATGTAAACTAGTAGAAGCATTCTGGAGAACAGTCTGGAAGTTCTTCAAGAAACTAAACATAGGACCCAGCCATACCACTCCTGGGCATCTACCCTGAGCATCACAAGCCAGGACACTGTGAAGACACTTGCACACCCATGTTCATTGCTGCCCTATTTATTCACAACAGCCAAATTGAAGAAACAGCCTGCACTGGATGAACGGATCCTAAAATGGTACCTAGACACAATGGAATTTTACACAGCCGTTAGAAAGAATAATATGTCATTTGCAGGGAAATGGATGGATGTAGAACAAATCATGTTGGGCGCCTGTTTTCTCTCTTACGAAGAAGCTAGATCTAAAATACACTGGGACATGGTAAATTATACAGGACTCCAGGCATTCATACACAGACCAGAAGAGGATATTCTTAGAACACAAAGGCACAACGTCTATGTGCATCTGATCATATAATACTCATCGAAATGCAGTTTTAAAAAGGGGGCTATGCTACTGATGCAGAGAGAGAAGCTGAACACAAGAGCTGTGTGAACCTAGATGAGTAGAATTTTAGGACACGGGCACCATCTTTAGTGTCCAAGTGGATCAGTAGTGACCCGGGGTGGGGCGGGGAAGGAAGAGCACCACCAGGGCCATGGACAGCTTTGAGAGCCATGAGTTCGGTTGGCCTCGTCTGTGCTGTGGTTTAGTGGGCGTGGGTTACACATTCGTTCGTGTACGTTCACAACTTACACACTGTGCTCTTAGCCATCTATTGTTTGTCCTATGTCTGTCACGTGACTGCATATATGCACACACACACACAGTACTGTTTAAAGTGGAGCATTCAGATTGCGCACAGTGGCTCACACCTGTAATCTAAGCTATATAAGAGAGATCAGCGGACAGTGGTTCGAATTCAACCAGCCTCTGGCAAAAAGTTCATTGAGACTTATCTCCTGGTCCCAACACTCACGTTCCTGGTTAATTCTGTAAGGCTTTTGCAGCCCCAGTCCATGTTTAAAAAAAAATCTTGGGGTTGGAGGAGTGGCTCAGGGGGTAGAGAACCAGCTAGCAAAACATCAGAGTCCAAGTTCCAGTCCTGGTCTCAGAAAAAAAAAATCTTTAAAAAATGTGTGTGTGTGTGTGTGTGTGTGTGTGTGTGTGTGTGTGTGTGTGTGTGTGTGTGTGTGTGTGTGTGTGTGTGTGTGTGTGTGTGTGTGTGTGTGTGTATTGGGGCTTGAACGCAGAGCCTCTCTTTTGCTTGGCTTTTTCACTCAGTCAGTGTTCTACCACTTGAACCATACTGCTTCTTCTGGCTTTTTGCTGGTTAACTGTAGATAAGAGTCTTTCTGCTTTGTCTGCCAGGGCAGGCTTTCAACTTCCTTCCTCAGATCTGCCTCCTGAATAGCTAGTTTAAATTAAAGCACAAGCCCCTGAGCCCGGCCTCCAGTCTTTCTTATACTGGGCAGCACTAGGGGTTGAACCCAGGTGCACATGCTTGCAAGGCAAGCACATTGCCACCGGAGTTCCATCCTCAGCCCCTGCTCATTTCTTTGGTTTGTTCTCATACGTGGTAAATACTTAGGATGAAAACTCTGAGTGCAAACCGACTTCTCACTGGTCCTTGGAGCCCAGGAGGTTTGGATTACAGGTGTGAGCCACAAGCTCCTGGCTTCATGTCTTTCCTTTCTTTTCCTTCCTTTTTCTTTCTTCTTTTTCCTCATTCTCTCTCTTTTCTTTCCTTCCTTCCTATTAAGTAGTTGTACAAAAGGGGGTTACGGTTTGATTAAGTCAGGATGTTTTTCTTCTTTTCTCTCTTTTTTCCTTTTGCTAGTCCTTGGGTTTGAACTGAGAGTCTGGGTGCTGTCCCTGAGCAGTTTTGATGAAGGCTAGTGCTCTACCACTTGAGCCACAGCTCCACTTCTGCTGTGTGTGTGTGTGTGTGGTTAATCAGAGATAAATGTTTCATGGACTTTCATACTGGAGCTGGCTTTGAACTGCAGTCCTCAGATCTGTCTCTTCAGTAGCTGGGATTACAGGCGTGAGCCACTGGTGCCAGCCTCAAACCTCCCCATTCTGCCTCCCTAGTAGTTGGGATTACAGGTGTGAACACTGTGTCCCAGCCTATTGATAATCTTTGGATGCCTTTTCTTTGTTTTCAAGGAGTCTCTAGAACGGAAGGCTGAAGACCACCCTGAAGGCAGCCACGCCTCTGAGTAAGTACAGGGAGGGTGTGTGGACCAAAGCTACCCAAGCCTTCGGGTCCCCATGTTCCTCGAGGGGCAAGGTCATGACCTGTGGATTCTCAAGTGTCCTGCTGCACACAGCGGCTTCTTCCACAAAGACTACCCTTGTTCCTAAGGAGCTCACAGCTCTGAGGTGACAGTCCCACCCACCCCATCACAGCCCATGGAGAGTGTGCCACCAAGAGGCAGATAGAGGCAAAAAGTTAGAGACTGCATCTTAATAGACAAGCTCAGTGTGGTGGCATTCTCTGCAAGCAAAAAACAAATAAGGGCTGGGAAGGTGGCTCAGTGGCAGAGCGCTTGCCTAGTATATATGAAACCCTGGGGTTTGGCTCCTCACTACCATATAAGCAGAAAAAGCCAGAAGTGGCGCTGTGGCTCAAGTGGCAGACTGCTCGCCTTGAGCAAGAAGAAGCTCAGGACAGTGCCTAGGCCCTGAGTTCAAGCCCTAAGTCTGGCAAAAAACAACAACAACAACCACCCAAGGAATGAAAGGAAGGAAGGAGCTGGGTGCTGGTGGCTCACACCCATTATCTTAAATACTCAAGAGGCTGAGATCTGAGGATCAACATTTGAGGCCAGCCTTGGCAGAAAAATACAACAGAATCTTTTTTTTTTTTTTCTGGGGTTGGTCGTGGGGCCTGAACTCTGGGCCTGGGCGCTGGCCCTCAGCTCTTCAGCTCAAGGCTAGCACTCTACCACTTGAGCCACAGCGCCACTTCCGGCTTTTTTTTTCTTTTTGCTTATGTGATGCTGAGGAATCGAACCCAGGGCCTCAGGCATGCAAGGCAAGTGCTATACCACTGAGCCACCTTCCCAGCCCCAACAACAGAACCTTATCTCCAATTAACCATTCAAAAACTAGAAGTAGCCAGGTGCTGGTGGTTCACGCCTGTAATCCTAGCTACTCAGGAGGCTGAGATCTGTCAGGAGGCTGAGATCTGAGAATCATGGTCCAAAGCCAGCCCAGAAAGGAAAGTCCATGAGACTCTTATCTCCAATAAACCACCAGAAAATCGGAAGTGGTGCTATGGCCAAATGGTAGAGCACTAGCCTTGAGCTGAAGAGCTCAGGGACAGTGCTCCGGACCTGAATTCAAGCCCCATGACGGACAAAAAACAAAAATCCAGTTCAAATATGTCCTCTTTCCCCGCCCCCATCTCCTCCTGCCCCCCAACATACCCAAGCCCCACCTATTGGGACTCTGCTACCCCTTGGCACCCGGCCTTGCCCCTCCTCCTAAGCCTCAGGATGGGAGAGGCGAGGGTCCATCTCTGGTCCCTCCCAGGGCCAGGCTTGTGGTGCCAGGCACCTGCACAGCTGCAGAGATGCTGGTAGAAAGAAACAATGTAATATAAGCCTATGTGGGACCTGTACCCCAGGCCTGGGGGGAGGGGGGAAGAGGGGAGGGCGGGACCTTGCTGGAGGAAGTGCTGCTCTGCTGAGTGCTTCTGATTGGGCTGGAGTCTGTGTGTGTGTGTGTGTGTGTGTGTGTGTGTGTGTGTCTGTCTGTCTGTCTGTCTACTGGTCCTGGGAGTTGAACTCAGGGCCTGGGCACTGCCCCTGAGCTTCTGGGCTCAAGGCTAGCGCTCTACCACTTGAGCCACAGCGCCACCTCCTGTCTGAAGTCTTGGATTGTGTAGCAGAAGGCAAGTGGATGATGTGAGCCTGGCCCCAGGCTCGTTCTGCAGCTGTGCATAGTGCAGCCTGCGAAATGGGAGGGAGATGCGATCCCTCCACTTCCCTAATGAGTACATGGGGCAGGAGGGCCCATGGCCCGAGGACCGGTACATTCTAGACAATTCTACACCCAAAAGACTGGTACAGATGTGAGGTGTCTCCTCGCCTCATTTAGCATATGCGTTTCTGCAGCCCAATTATAACCAGTTTGTTCTCTCTGGGGAGGCATATTCTCTTTTAGATTTTTTTTTCTTCGAAGGTTTTCTTTTTATTTAAGCGTGCATGACTTTAGGAAACACTTCTGGAGTGAAATGGAGTGGACATTAGTTTAAATAAATTGTTTTTGATTCAGGAATGAGATAACTTTATTTTGTTTTTTAATTTTTGTTGGTCGTGGGCCTTAGCCGGGTGCCGGTGGCTCACGCCTGTCATCCTAGCTACTCAGGAGGCTGAGATCTGAAGATCACAGTTCAAGGCCAGCCCAGGCAGGAAAGTCTGTGAGACTCTTATCTCCAATAAAGCACTAGAAAACCGGAAGTGGCACTGTGGCTCAAGTGGTAGAGCGCTCTCCTTGAGCTGAAGAGCTGAGGGACAGCGCCCAGACCCAGAGTTCAAGCCCCACGACCGACAACAACAACAACAAAAAATCCAGTGCTGGGCCTTAGCTCATCATCCTGCCCCCAAGTTCACACGGGAGCTCTGGTTTGTCCCGCCTCAGCCTGGCAGCTGCAGGCTTGCCCGTCCCCACACGCGCACTGGGCTCCCGCGCTACCCACCTGCCAGACTGCCGCGCGGGGCACAAGGCCACACACCACAGATGCTCCGGAGTCCAAAGAGTCCCGCAAGCCTCGGGTCACCGAGCGGTCGTCCTGTTCTGCCAGCAGCCTCAGTGACACCCAGAGGGCACTGGCCCGAGGGGGGAGGCATTGGCACGTGGACATGGGACTTCCGGTTCCCATAAGGCCCCATGTACATCCGTCCCACGTTGTTTGTGCCTCCAGTGAACTCAGGGCGGGGCTGCGGTCTCCAGAGCAGGCGGGGAGGCTGTGGAGGAGCAAATGACTGCGGTGCCTGGCAGCGCTTGGACCTGCCCCCAGATCTTTCCCTCCTCAGCTTCCCGCGCAGAGTAGGCCTTGGGTAGCGTGGGGGGAAGGCCGAGGCTGGCATATGCTGGGCTGCTGTAGGAATGCCAGTTTGAAGGTTCCCGTTTCCTACCTGCAGAGCCCCAGCTGGCAGCCACAAGCGGCGGGAGGGACAGTCGGCCATCTGCTACGACCGTGCGGAGGAGGAGCTGATGGCCAGCATCGAGCGCGAGTACTGCCGCTGAGCTGCCCAGCCCTGGGGGCGTTGGAGGAGGAGGACTTCTCCCTCCCCAGCCACCTTCAGATGTGGCTGTGTCCGGATCTGACGAAGCAACCTTCCCAGGCTCCCAGTGAAGCATCCTGCACATGGCCATGCGCGGCCCGTGGGCACGAGGCCTGCCAGCCTGTGGGTTGGTGATGCAGCAGGAGGGAAGGCCGCGTGCCCTGTGGCACAGAGGTGTGGGCCCCTCATTCTGGGGGGCCCGGAGTGCTTCCCCACTCTTCGGATGGGGCAGGGCCTCACTGAACCCTCTAGGCCCCTGTCCTAAAGCTTCTGAAAGGTTCTGCGGTAGAGCTTGGGGGGGGGGGTGCCCTGAGTCTTTATGCTGACTTCTCAGAGTTAGCCTGGTGTACCCCAGTTCTCAAGGGGTGAGGCCAGCTATAGCTCCTGCATTTCTACAGGCTCTCAGGCAGGAGGAGCTGCCGGTGGCCCTGCTGTAGTCCGAGATTTCAAAAGTCCTGAGCTATGTACCTTGCGCTGCTCTCTCCCTGGCCCTGCTGGCACATGGTAGAAGGAGAGCCCCAGAGCCCAGAGCTTGTGGCATTGGCTACAAGCTATGGAATTAGCCTGCTGGGGTGTACAGAGCTGTCACTTTGCCTTTCTGGGCCTCAGTCTCCCTCCCTGGGAGGGAGATGCTTCCTGGGGCCCCTGGGGCTTGCCTGCCCTGCTGAGGAGCCAGGTCTTCATGCAGCCCTCTCTCCAGGTCCCCTCAGCCCGCAGCCTGGCTGATGCCCATGGACCTTCCCCCTTGGTTCCTTGTTCATAACTGATTTGCCAAAGGCCTTGTGAACACAGCTGCCTCCAACTGGGAGGGCGTGGCCTGTGTGGGGCGGGGCTCCCCCCCCCCAGCAGCTGGCCGGCCACAGCGGGGAGGCTGTCCACCAAGGGGTGCCAGGGTGCCTGGCAGCTTTTCTGAAGCCAGAACAGGCCCCACTTATCTCATTCCCGCACCAACAGCGGCTTTCACAGCATTCTCCATTTCCCGAGACCTTGCCCAGGCGACCTCAGGACGAAGCCCAGCACATCTGTGGAACCAATGAGAAGACAGCGCCCCGCCTGGCCTCAGCCACAGGCCCTTGGCCATCCCAGCAGTCCAGCTCCGGCAGGGCCTTTCCCAACTGGACAAGAGTGCCTTTGATCCCCGTGCACCACGGGGACACGGACTGTAGGCCGGAGCCCAGAGCCCAGGGCCCAGCGCCTCCCAGAGCCAGGAGCCGCTCCTCACTGAGCCCCACACTTTCTTCCCAGAGACCAAAGTCCTTTCCATGCAGGGACCAAAGTCCTTTCCATGCAGGGACCAAAGTCCTTTCCATGCAGGGACCAAAGTCCTTTCCATGCAGGGACCAAAGTCCCTTCCATGCAGAGACCAAAGTCCTTTCCATGCAGGGACCAAAGCCCTTTCTGTTTTTAGTAATACAAATAATACAAATCCTTATTTTTTTTAAAGAAAGGATCTCATCTCATAGAAATAAGATGTTATTGCAGATGATCAGCCTTTGAACGGCAAGCTTATGTCACCGTTTTCTTAGACTAGAGAGTGTTCGATGGTTCCCAGGAAGAAAGACGGTAACACTGCATTTTCCTGTAGGAATCCAACAGTCTGAGAGCAGAGTGTTAAGAACAGTATCGGCTTGTCTGTGCCATGCCAGCGTGAACGCACCGCCCGCAGCCTGCAGTCACAGCACTGTTCTCTTTATTAAAAAAAATTTTTTTGGCCTAAGTCTGGGACTTGAACTTGATATCTGACGCTGCTGCTGAACCACCTGAGCCACGCCTCCAACCCCTGTCTCCGGAATTCAGGAAAAGTGTCTTCCAGGAAGCAGGTCAAGAAAGCGTGTGCTCTCTGGTCCTGCAGGACCTGGGGCGAGGTGGGGTCCGGGGAGGAAGTGGGGGGGACTCTTGCTGAGCTGCCACATGTTGGGAAGCGCGCCCTGCACAGCCTCTGCCCCGAGCCCAGTTGTGGGATCTGCACCAAGACAGGACGAAGACAGGACGTGGCTACGGCAGAGCTAGAAAGAAGCTCGGTTCCAGGAGGCGGTGAGGACGCAGTGCTGTGTGGGAAAGGAGGAGCATGGGCACAGCCCCCTGGCGTTGTAGGAGACCCCAGAGATGCTCCCAAGGCTGGAATGGAGGAACCCTGCCCCTCTCCATCAGAAATGGGGTATGCGGGGGACTCAGAGCCCCTCTGATCCACACTGCTGAGTCCCAGGGCTCAGTCTTTCCCTGGGTGCAGCTCAGGCCCTGCCTAGAGCCCCTCCCTCAGAACTTGCAGGGCATGGATGTCCATTGCCCTGTGCAGAACGTGTGTGTGTGTGTGTGTGTGTGTGTCCCTCAGAATAACCCAGGGGTCACCTGGGAAGCATCAGACTTGGGTATTTTTCCTGTTTCGGTTCTGGCCCAAATTAGGCAGGAGGACGGTGTTCTCAGTCATCAGGTTTTTAAGTCACCGAAGGCCAGAGCCCTGGAGGACACCCCATAATCAAACCTTTCCTGGGAGTGGCCTGGACTTAAGGGATAATTCAGCCCTTCGGGTGAGAGGGTAGCCGTTCTCTGGTGTGAACAAACCTCCAAGGAGGAGCTGCCTTTTCTGTGGGGTGTGGACCCCTGGTGGTGCTTTGTCTACCAGAGGCGCATGGCATGTGACCCACACCCCAATGTGGCACCTCTAGGAGCCAGGCAAGAGTTATCACAGACGCCTGCGCTACAGAGCAGACTGACCTCACAGGCCTCTGATCAGCTCTCAGCTGACTCAACAGCGACCCCGTGTGGCCACAAATAACACTGACCTGGACCTCAGGTGAATCTGGGATACAGAGGTTAGAAAGCCCCAGGGAACCCACAGAGGCTGCAGCAGCATGGCCTGAACTTCCTGCTTGTGTGGCAGAAGGACAGAGGGGTGGACACAAAGAACATGATGTGACACCTCGAGTAAGTGAGATCAGCAGTGGCAGGGTTTAGAGAATTTATACGAGAGCTCTCTAAAACAGGCTGGCACCAGGCTAGGTTCTGTGCTCCTCGTACAACGGGTGTGTAGAACACACCCAGTGGGCAGATCACCCCCAGCTGCCTGCCAGGAAGCAATGCCATCTGGATTCATCCCAACATCCCAGCAGAAAACCCCAACTCAGCATCCTGGGAACCAGAGACACGCACACCAGGCCTCTATCCGCAGCAAGAACCCAGGGGTAACAGGGACCCGGACTCCAGGCCATCCTCACCCCTCTCGCCAGATTCCAAGGCCCGTGGCATTGTGTTTCCCGTCCCCCAAGGTAAATGTGACGGGTGGCCCATTGGTCTCTGCACTGGGAAGCCTGTATGGAGGACCAAGAGGTGGACAAGGAGACGGCTAGCCCCGCGTGGGGGAGAACTGGTCTAGGCCTGTGGGAATGGCAGTGCCATGGGCGCCATGTGCCTGGCCACACTCTGCTGGGTGCGACTCCTCTCAAGAGCCCTGAGGCTCCAGCCTGCTCCACAATCCATGTTCCTTCAGGGACCCCGGGCTTGGCATCCCCGCACACGCGCTTGTGACTTTACTCAGTGTCACACAGGTCACTGGTCACCCGAGCGGGAGCTGAAGCCGCTGGGGTCCCCCAGTGCACAGATGCAGTGCCAGGATGCTAAAGCCTTAGGGCTTTAGCAAGAACATCCCACAGAAAAACTGCCTAGGCCTCTCGAGTCACAGCTCTTCCCCCACCCAGGGCCTCCCTGAGTGCCTCTTTCTCCAAGAACCCTTTTAGAGAGCCCAGCCTTAGCCTCCTAGTCACCAAGGGGGTGAAGCGCAGTGCTGGCTAGTCCAGCTGCAGGCATGGCGGGTGCTCAGGGGAAGGGAACTCGGAGAGGAGAGGGGCAAAGGCCGGAGGCACACAAAGCTGCACACCCATGCCTTTCTCTAGGACTCAAAGGAGTACAGAGGCACTGGCAGCTCACGCCTGTAATGCTGCTACTCAGGAGGCTGAGATCTAAGGATCATGGTTGAAAGCCAGCCTGGGCAGGAAAGTCTGACTCAATTCCAATGAATCACTAAAACCCAGATCAACTGTGGCTCAAGTGGTTAGTAGCCTTGAGCAAAAAAGCTCAGGGACAGCACCCAGGCCCTGAGTTCAAGCCCTAGGACCAGCACAAAAACAAATGAATAATAATAAATGAGAACAGAGAGGTGGGCTGCTTCCGTATCTCTGCCCTGGGGACCCCGTGTGGCTCCTAAGTCCTTGAAGGAGGAGACTTGATGAAGTTTGTGTCTTCCTGTCTCAACTCTGGGTCAGGAGCTAGGATAATTCATCTCTGAATTTCTGACCCACCACAACAGTTCACTCAATGCATACTGGCTGGACGGATGGGACAGACAGGACGTAAGGAAGTGCCCAGATGTGTACAGGCAATATGCGGTCATACAGCTTACATTTATGATGGCAAATTAATTTGCAATAAATAACCTAAGGTCTATAACTGTTTTGTTTTTGTCAGTTGAGGGTCTTGAACTCAGGGCCTACATGCTGTCCCTGAGCTCTTGTTCAAGCCTAGCATTCTACCACTTTAAGCCACAGCTCTACTTCTAGTTTCCTGGTGGTTAACTGGAGGTAAAAGGCTCATGGACTTTCCTGCCTGAGCCAGCTTCGAACGATCCTTTAGTAGGATTACAGGCGTGAGCCACCGGCAGGGCTTCGGGCATTTTTCTTGCCAGCCACTGGAGCCTCTAGTGTTGAAGGAGTGGAGGCAGTGGCCTGACAGCTCTTCAGCGGCTGCGCCGGAGCCCAGCGGTGCCGGGTGAGGAGCAGAAGGGCTCTTCACGCGTGCTGCTTTGTGCTATTCCCCTCCCTCTCCAGCACCACGGGCCGCATCTTGCTGCCTCGGAATCAGCTTTGCTCTCAGGCGGTTCCTCTTCAGGCTCAGCAGGAGCCGCACGGCAGGAGTAGTCTGTGTGCAGTGCCAGCTCTGGGAATCCTGGAGCCTCCAGGAACCTCCAGGAACTAGGGGGACAGTGACTGTCCCCTCCACACACGGAGCTCCTGATGGAACAGGACGAGCTTCCTGGCTCTGTCCCAGGATGGGGCCCAACTGTGAGGAGGATGTCTCCAGTTCTTTTTCTAAAAATCCCTAACAAAGGGGACAGATGAAGAGCTAAGGAGCAGGGATGTTGTGACCAGAAAGTCACTACAAATCTTGGGGTCGGGCTGGGAAGGTGGCTCAGTGGTAGAGCACTTGCCTTGCATGCCTGAGGCCCTGGGTTCGATTCCTCAGCACCGCATAAGCAGAAAAAAAGAGCTGGAAGTGGCGCTGTGGCTCAAGTGGTAGAGCGGTAGCCTTGAGCTGAAGAGCTGAGGGACAGCGCCCAGGCCCAGAGTTCAGGCCCCACGACCGGACCCAAAAAAAAAAATATCTTGGGGTCACGCTGGGCGCCGGCGCCGGTGGATCATACCTGTAATCCTAGCCACTCAGGGGGCTGATTTGAGGATCACAGTTCAAAGCCAGCCTGGGCAAGAAAGTCTGCGAGACTGTGCTCCAATAAACTACCAAAAGACAACTGGGGGGGGGGGGGCATGGCTCAAGTGGTAGAGTGCTAGCCTTGAGCACAAAAGCTAAAGGACCCAAGTTCAAGCCCCAGGACAAAAAAAGTGCTGGGTGCTGGTGGTTCACACTTGTAATCCTAACTACTCAGGAGGCGGAGATCTGAGGATCATGGTTTGAAGACAGCTCGGGAAGGAAAGTTCCTGTGAGACCCTTATCTCCAACTAACCACTCAAAAACTGGAAGGAGCGCTGTGGCTCAAGTGGTAGAGTGCTAGCCTTGAACACAAAGAGGCTCAGGGACGGCCCAGGCCCTAAGTTCAAGCCCCACAACTGGCAAAACAAAACAAAACCTTGGGGCCAATAGAGCAGCTATAGCAGATAAATGTCCTAAGGCTGATGGCCATAGTCTGGGTGCTGCTATCCAGAGACAAAGGGGTTGGGAACAAGAGAGACTTTTCCAGAATTGATGGATGCAAAAGGTCTTATGACTTAGCAGCTCCAACATACCTGCATGTGTCGGACAGCAAGGACAGGACTGGGAAAGGAGGTCGCACACCCTGCCCAAAGGGTGGCACTAGACACTGTGGGCTCTTTCCACGAGAGACCCATGCTACCCACCCCCGTGGGGACCCAGGCGGGCTGTTCCCCAGCACCCAGCCAGAGGTAGACACGCCCGCAGGCTGCTGGCAGGGGCTGAGTTCTTCCACATGCTGGCTGGCAGATTCGGCAGCAGGCTAGGGGGAGAGCTCCAGGCTGGGCTGGAAGGGGCCTGGCTGTGCCCAGGCTGCGGATGGGCCTCGGGCTTCTCCCTGGAGGCCGGCAACCAGTGAGGGCTTTAGGCACACAGGACCTCAAACAGCTGTGCGGCTGCCGAGAAGGTGGAAGGGGCCTGGGAGAAGGGAGCGAGGCCAACATCTGGGAGACAGTGGGACCCACTGTTGGGTGACACTGGGTGCAGTGACCAGGGGCACATGCCTGGCCCTCGGGTGGAGGCTGTGGCAGGCGGGAGTGGGGGAAGGGCAGGGTGGCTCAGGTCTCACACGGGTGCAGGGCTCTTTTGGACAAGGACTGGCTCTGTGGTGGACACGCAGGTGGGGAGGTTGAGGCACGGGCAGGTGTCAAGGGCACAGGTGGGCACAAGAATCTGAGGTTCAGGCGAGGCTCAGGGAGCGTCCCCGGTTAGGACTCGCATGAGTCTGGGCTCGGCACGGAGCGCGCTGTGAGTCATGAGTGCAGCATGGCGGCCTTCAGCCCCCAGCACCTCAGCCCAGGGTGCCAAGCCCTGAGCCGCCCAGGCCCCTGGCACCACCCACGGGGGAGCTTCCGTGGTGCATGCGGGGCCATGGCTGCCACGCCATGTGTGTTGGCGGGAGAATGTGTCCAGAGCGAAGGCAAAGACCTGCTCCCTGGTACTCCCTGGAGGGAGGGCGGGAAGGACTTAGTTCTAAGCACCCCTCCCAGGTCGCCTCCTGGCATGGGGAGAACAGAGGTCTCCCCTGCCAGCACCGCCAGAGACAGCCTGCGACAGTGTGTTGAGAAAGAACTGTTCAGATGAAAGCTGAGAGCAGGCGTGCGCGGGGAGCCCAGGCCCCGTGCGCGCAGGCCTGCCTCCCAGGCCCCGTGCGCGCAGGCCTGCCTCCCAGGCCCCGTGCGCGGGGAGCCCAGGCCCCGTGCGCGGGGAGCCCAGGCCCCGTGCGCGCAGGCCTGCCTCCCAGGCCCCGTGCGCGGGGAGCCCAGGCCCCGTGCGCGCAGGCCTGCCTCCCAGGCCTCCCAGCGAGAAGGAGAGAAGGAGAGAGGTGACCGGCGCGGCCGATGACAGGGACACGAGGCCGGGTGCAAATCAAGAAAGCTTTATATGATTCCAAGAAAAACGTTACATCACACAGAGGCATTTAAATAATGTCCTTTACATAAAACATAATCATGAAACATTTTAAATTTTATGACTACCGAAAAGGCTCAAAGTCAAGAAAGATGAAGCAAAACTGCTCAAGCAATAAAGTGCACGGGCCTGCCTCGCACAGCCCCCGACCCGGCCCCGGCGGGGGGGGGGGGGGGGGGGGGACACGACGACGGGAACGGGATGGACAGACGGACAGCCACCAACCAGGGTTCTCAGATGGGACCTTACAAAACTGAAGTGTTCCAACTTACAATTGATCTTTCACCAGACAATGGGGAGGGGGTGTCTCTTACAGAGGCATTTCTAAATCTAAACAGGAAATAGAAGCTTAAATTAAAACCATTCCAACGTATCTCTTCGGTAGAAAGAAAGAGGTACTGTTCAGGGAACAAAGTGCTGTGCAACGAACACCAAATCCTCAAAGACTCCATTGCCCACCGGAGCTGCGGCCGAACACCGCCGAGTATCAGAGCCGACGCCATTTAGAACAGAGGGTCACAAGTGTTTCTGCTGACTTAGGGCGGGGAGGGGGGAGGCGGGGCAAAGGGGCGCATGAGCTATGTTCTGTCCAGTTACGCTGTGTGATTCTCTTGCATTGCACCTGCTTAGGTCAACAGGAACATTCAACTCCAAACAGTCCAAAATGTGAAAATTTCCTAATACATACATACATACATATGTGTTGACAAGCAGTTGCTACAAAGGGCACTTAATGGGTTTCAACTACATACCATGAATGAGCAGGTAAGGGTTACAAAGACCTGAACACAGAACCTAGTTTTACTTAATTATCCATACTTCCCCTTACCATCATTTCAATAAATTCAAGTGCCAATAACTAAAAGGCAGATATAAAATATATAAAATGAATGCATACTGCGCAAAAAAAAAAAAAAAAAAAAGAATTCCCAGGCTACGCAAATACTCGTGGTGCGTTCCCTGTTTTGGTGTGCTTCTGCTGAACTTCCAGCCTTCCCCAGCACCGGCGTCTGTGGCGGGGTGGAAACGCGCAGCTGTGGCGCCTTTCTAGGTAGACTGCAGAAACCCTGTTTTGGTAAGCTTGTTCCTTCTAACAAGATGAACTACAGGGCCGTGAGGTGGCGTTACAGAGACAGGACACACCTTTCCTCTAGCTTTTCATACTTAATAAAGGAATCCACGTGTCGGCGCGCACCTCTCTTTAGATGACCTGAGCTTCGGTGAGATCAGGGACCGAGGAGCACTTGCTTTTCTCTCAGCAGTCATTCTGCTCACACCGAGAGAAAACGGACAACTGTCAGCCCATCACTGCCCGGGCAGCCCTGTCTGAGTGTCTACAGTCTTTCTGGTGCCCTGGCACAGGCAGCAGCCGCTCCCTTGCTCTATGTGGGTCATGCGGGCCCTGCCCAGGCTCTGCCACAGCTGGCCAGGGACCCGACGACTCTCCAGCATCCCTCAAGCACCGCACCATGGACACAGGTGACGGTAACGAGTTCTAGCCAGCTGGGATGTCTGTTCCTTGGGCTGCAGGACTGATGGCATGGGATTTTCTCGAAGCTACTATGCTAGTCAGTTGACTAGGAAATGTATTTTTCCCTTTTAAGAGACCCTCACTCACCAGTTATGATTCCAGAAAGTTCTGAGGTCTAAAAGGGCTTTTTAGACCTCAGAACTTCTGAACAATGCACCAAGCTTCCTAAAAGTGGGGTCATTATACAATGTTGTTACTAAACACAGGAAAAAAAAGGCTGTAAGTCATCTTATCTAGAAACTGGCGACTGGAGCACCGACAATATAAATATTTTTATAAAAAAGTATAAAAATTAGTACCCTGTCTCATTTCTACAAAACATGAATAGAAAGGTTGCGAATAATCCAGAATTTGTAAACTTTATTGCCGAAATGTTTGCTTGAGTGCTGGTGATTCAGACGGTCAAATTTTCTTCCATTTCCTCTAAAACACAAAACCAAACAAAACCCTTCTGAAACCACAAAAGACACAGGCCCTGGCCAGAAAAGCAAGCCAGCGCAGTCCCTGCGCCGGCCGGCGGTGGGTCCGGTGCTGCCTCTCAGGCGGAGGCTGGCAAGGGCGGCGGGGGGCTGCCGGGGCCCTCTGCAGAGGCAATCCTGCTCAGCTTGCCCACCTCCGCCTGCCAGCCCGGGATCTTCTTGGTGGTCATGTGGCGCCGGGTGTGCTTGGTCAGGTGGTCGCTGCGCATGAAGCGCCGGTCGCAGACGGGGCACACGAACTTCTTCTCCCCCGTGTGCGTTCTGCGGTGGCGGGACAGCTCATCTGAGCGCGCAAACTTTTTGTCGCAGCCGTCCCAGCTGCAGGTGAAGGGCTTCTCTCCTGTGGACAGGCAAGTGCACACGTGACCTTCGCCGGACTCAACAGGGGAGGGGCGCCCTGTGACCCCGCCACCGCATGCCGCAGAAGGCAGGAGCCCTCCAAAAGACATTCCTTCCAATCACACCTAAGGGTAATGCGCTAGGCCTCATGATGGCAAAGTTCAAGCCTAGATCTCCCTCAAAACCGTACTTGAAAACATTCTGTGTGTACATGCATACATACACACGCATGTGTGAGTATAGGTGTGTGTGTATACACATACATAGGTGGTCCTCCTACACAGACGAGGCTGGCACTCCTGCTGAGTCCCAAGTGCTAGGATTACAGGTGTGTGCCTCCTCACCCAGCTTTGAAAATGTATTTTAAACCTGTGTGTGTGTGTGTGTGTGTGTGTGTGTGTGTTATGTGTGCGCATGTGCAGTCGTGAGGACTAAACCCAGGACAGGGCCTGCCCTTCCTAGGCAAGCACTCCTCAACTGAAGATTCAACTGAATCCTTCAAAGTAGACTTTAAAATATGAAAATAAGTTTCAAAGCCGGGCGCTAGTGGCTCATGCCTGTAATCCTAGCTACTCAGGAGGCTGAGATCTGAGGATCGCGGTTCAAAGCCAGCCCGGGCAAGAGAGACCGTGAGACTCCTATCTCCAATAAACCATCAGAAAACCAGAAGTGGCGCTGTAGCTCAAGTGGTAGAGCGCTCGCCTTGAGCTGAAGAGCTGAGGGACAGCGCCCAGGCCCAGAGTTCAAGCCCCACAACCGACAAAAAAAAAAAAAAAGAAAGTAAGTTTCACTATAGCTTGGGGCAGGAGGAAGATTTCCCTCCTCCTCCTGTTCGACGTGGACTTGCTCTGTAGCCCGTTTTGGCCAGAAACACCATTCTCCTGCCTCTGGGGAGAAGATCCCTCTTGCTCTGGTTAGCACTGGGGTTTGAGCTCAGAGCCTGTCTGCCGGTGGGCGCTGCCGCCATGCCACACCGCCAGCCTCCTGCTCTGTCTTTTGGGTAGGGTCATGGAAGCTGCCTGCTGCTTGACCACCATCCTTGCACTCACCACTGCAGGTTGGCTAGAACAATGGATGCTCACTCCCACACGCAGCTTACTGGGATCTTGTTACCAGACTGCCTAACTGTACTCTCCGACCTCCACCTCCTCTGAGCAGCTCGACTACAGGCGGGAACCGCTAAGGCTGACTGGGGAAAAGAGAGCTGCATATTCCTCCTAAGGTCGTCTTGGGTTTAGTCCTGTCCCCCTTCCCCGCCCCGCCCCCCATCTAGGAGCCACAGTTCCCCTTCTGGCTTTTATGGTGATTAATTGGAGGTAAGAGGCTGATGAACTTTGCTGCCCAGGCTGGCTTTGAACCATGATTCTCAGAACTCCAGCTTCCAACCTCCTGAGTGGCTAGAATTACAGACAGGAGCCATTAGTGCCTGGCTGTCCCAGAACTTTTGTGCGTAAGGCTAGCACTCTACCGCCTGAGCTACAGCTCCACTTCCAGCTTTTCCGGGTGATTAACTGGAGAGAGTCTCATGGGCTTTCCTGCTGACTGAACTGTGACCCTCAGACCTCAGCTTCCTGAGCAGGTAGGATTATAGGCGTGAGCTACTAGTGCCTGGCTCCTCCTAGGCTTATTATTTTTTTTTTCTGCCAGTCCTGGGACTTGAACTCAGGGTCTGGGCACTGTCTGTCTCTGAGCTTCTTTTGCTCAAGGCTAGCACTCTACCACTTGAACCATAGCACCACTTTAGGCTTTTTCTGCTTACGTGGTGCTGAGGAATCGAACCCAGGGCCTCGTGCACACAAGGCAAGCACTCTACCACTGAGCCACCTTCCCAGACTCATCTCCATATTTCTTATTAAACCTTAGTTTCAAAATGGCAAGGCTAGTGCTATATTCAAATAGACACCCTTCTATTAAAAGCTGCAAGGATCTAGCATTCAATCAAAACTTCATAGTTCCTGGCAGGCCTCCCTGTCCCACCGGGTGCTGGGCTGGTGATAGGTGAGACCTCAGGCAGGCAGCCCTTCTCAACGGGAGGAAGGCACAGGGACACGCACGGCGCTTTGCACCCTAGGGCCTTCCCCAGCACACCGGGGCAAACCCGCACCACCCGCACGATGGCTGCAATTATGCAGCTTTGTGCGCGTGTGAACTTCATCTAGCAGGTAGTGAGTAAATGGTTTTAAGTGAATGAGTATTGAAGAGACACAAACATGCTTTTTGGTTGGATTAATAAGCAAACACCCTTATAGATAGACAGGCCTTAAATTCCATGGATTTCAAACACCCCACAGTAGGTGCAAGCTTGTGGAAGCAGAGGCGTGGCTCAAGTGGTAGAGTCAGTCACGAATGGAAAAAGCTGAGCGAGCAAGAGGCTCTGAGCTCAAGCCCAGGACGGGCCCACACCAAAAAACGCATGGTTTGAATATGTCCCTCAAGTTTCCACGCTGGGAACCTAACCCCAAGTCCAAAGCCAGCAGCATTCGCAAGGTGGGCCCTGTGGTAGGTGGCCGTGGATTCACACAGGCCCCGGAGGGGAGGCACAGTTACAGAGCATGCGCTCTGGCATGCTGAACATCGGTGAGGCCTTCTGCCCTGCTCTGAGGCAGCGCGAGGCCCTCACCGGAGGCTGGGCTTGTGCTCTTGGGCTTCCCAGAGGTTCTGGAAGCTTGCACCCCCCAGCCCTCTCTTCTTTGCTAAACTCCTGTCTGTGGTATTGTTAAAGCAGCAGATGACAGACTCAGGCAGTCACCTTCCCGCAGCCGGTCCTGTCCCCACCATTGGGGACAGCATGCTCAAAGTCCGGGCCTGGCAACCCGACAGGCACTAACACAATTCCCCATCTCGTTTTCAACGCATCGGAAATGACTATCGCTTCCCTCCACCTTATTCTACTTTTCACTTAAAATATTATTTTTAGCGGGGCGCTGGTGGTTCATGCCTGTAATCCTAGCTATCAGGAGGTTGAGATCTGAGGATCGCAGTTCAAAGCCAGCCCGGGCAGGAAAGCCTGTGAGACTCTTATGTCCAATAAACCACTAGAAAACTGAAAGTCGCACTGTGGCTCAAGTGGTAGAGCGCTCACCTGAGTGGAAGAGCTGAACTGAGGGACAGCGCCCAGGCCCAGAGTTCAAACCCCATGACTGACCAAAAAAAAAAAAGTTCTTTGTGTGCCGATCCTGGAGCTTGAACGCAGGCAGGCCCTGGGTGCTGGCCCTGAGCTGCTTTGCTCAAGACGAGCCTTCTAGTCTTGGTCTGGGAAGGTGGCTCAGTGCTTAGAGTGCTTGCCTTGCATGCATGAGGCCCTCAGTTCAATTCCTCAGCACCACATAAGCAGAAAAAGCTGGAAGTGGGGCTGGGGCTCAAGTGGTAGAGCGCTAGCCTTGAGCTGAAGAGCTGAGGGACAGTGCCCAGGCCGAGTTCAGGCCCCATGACTGACAAAAAACAAACAAACAAACAAACAAAAAAAACAACCCCAAACCACAAGACTAGCGTTCTACCACTCAAGGCACAGCTCCACTTCTGGATTTTTGGTGATTAACTGGAGATAAGAGTCTCATGGACTTTCCTGCCTTCGCTGGCTTCCAACCTCCATCCTCAGATCTCAGCCTCCTGAGTAGCTAGGATTACAGGCGTGAGCCACCAGCGCCTGGCTGAAGGGATCTTCTTACCCAAGAGAATTTGCCCAAAGCTTCTATTTCTCCTAAAAACGCCAATGAAATGTCTACAATATGGCACAGAAGGGGCTCTTCGGAAGCCTTTGTTACTTAAATTGAGCTTGGAAAGCATGAAGGAGCTTGCTTAGACTGCCATGGTTTTTGCTGGTCTGTTGGCAGTTCTGCCAGGAGAGATGGAACCGACCATAAAACTCATCTCACCACCTCCACAAATCTGGAAGTGCTGCTGCCATGTGCAGTGCACCCAGACAGACTCAGCAGACAGCAGAGCGTCCCACACCAGCAAGCCAATGACAACAGAGCAGGTCGATTCCTAGAAGCACCCCTTCATTCTACAACACCCCCACCCCCTTGCTAAGGCCAACCCACTTACTAGTGTCAGGCATGAGCAATGTATATCCAGTGTGATTAGACCAGTCCATAAGTAACAAACAAAGGGAGACGGTGAAACACCATGAACCACCAGGATCAAAAAAGAAAGGCCAAGAAGCGATGAGACCGTTGGAAGGCCTCCACCAGCTGCTCGCGGCCCAGGGCTGAGGGAGAAGAGTGGAAATAGGGAACTAAAGTGAGACCATCACAGAAGGCTGGATCTGCTCTGGCAAAGAGGCAGGTGTCGGGGCTTACTCCTAAGCCAACATGTACTCCACAGCATGAAGGAACAGTAGAGTTCCTTCTGGAATGTCCGAACACTAGACAGCATTCCATTCTGTGAGCAGGGGCCGCCACGGTCAGAGGGAACTGTGCCCCTCGGAGCCAGTCTACCTCAACAGGATTTTCAAATGCAGCAGAGCAGTTACTCCTGCTCCTCAGCCTTCCCTGTATCGGAGCGTATGAGGCGGACATTCTGGGGAGAGGGCTCCATGGTAGGGGAGTTTCAGAACATACAGGCTGGGCACCATGGTTCAGGCCTAGAATCCTAGCTAATGACGTTTATCTCTTGGTCACATTGATTTCCAGTGCCTGTGGCTAATGGCTCCCCCTATGGACAGAACCTTCCCATCTCTGCAGAAAAACCCACTGGACAGAATTGACTGGACAAGCAAGAGACTACTTGGTCACTGTGGTGTGACTTTTTGTTTTCGTCGGGCTTGAACTCAGGGCCTGGGCGCTGTCCCTGAGTTTTTTCGCTCAGGGCTAGTGCTCTACCACTTGAGCCACAGCTCTACCCAGTTTCCTGGTGGGTAGTTGGAGATGAAAGAGCCTCATGGACTTCCTCACAGACGCGAGCCACTAGCACCTGCCTGTGACTTCTTTTGAATATTCTCTAAAGCAACACACCCATATTTTTCAGCTATTCTAGCATGTGAATTTGGCCAGCTGGACTTTCTCCCAAACCACTGGTATACTTAATGTCAATGCACCTTTTCTGAAATGCACCGTGGAGAAGGGAGCATTGTCAGTCCTGCTAAAAGCTGTCTGAGGGTCAGGGGAGGGCCCTGGAACTGATGTGTTCACTAATCACAATCCAAATCATGACATGCATGTGACGTCTTTTGTTTTTGGTGCCAGTCCTGGGGCTCAAACTCAGTTCCTGAGATATTTTGCTCTGAGACTAGTGCTCTACCACTTGAGCCAAAGCTCCACTCCTGCCTTTTTGTGATTACCTAGAGATAAGGTCTCACAGACTTTTCTCCCTGGACTGAACTGCAATGCTCAGATCTCAGCCTCCTGAGCAGTTAGGATAGTAAGTGTGAGCCACCCGCACCCGGCTATGAGCATGTTATACCCCCCTTTCCCTCCTCCAGTGGTCCCCTGCCTCCCTCCCCTCAAGGGAGGTGTTCTAGAGAATCCACCGTCGCCGCCCTGCGCCAGTACTCACCCGTGTGTGTGCGAAGATGGGCCTTGAGGTGGGAGCTTTTGAAGTAGGTCTTCCGGCAGCCGGGAAAGCTGCAGACGTAGTTCCTCCTTCGGGAAAAGTCTACCTGAGGGGCACAGTTTGGGCTAGAGGCAATGAACACCGGGGCAGGGGCCAGGGGCAGCAACTTGGTGTTGCCAATAGCCACGACGCTGGACGGGCAGGCGGCAGGCTGGGGAAAGGTGCCCTGTGGCAGCACCAGCATCACACTTCCCTGAGGCACAGGCGGGCCCACGAGCACCTGCGGAGGCGCCGGCGTGGCCTGGGGTAGGATGGGCTTGACAGTCCCCGAGGATGGCAGGAGGGGGGGCTTCAGGACAGCTGACAGCACGGTGCTCGGTCCGGACATGGGGATCATTTGGCAAAGGACAGGGGGGCTGGCGACAGGGATGGAAACCACAGGGGTGCTTTTCCTTGGCAAGTCATTTTCAACTTTCTTTGGTGAGCAGGCCTGCGCTGCCGTGGGCCACCTGGCCTGCTGGCCTTGGGAGGCGGGCAGCAGACCTTCCAATGAGTGCAAGTGAGGCTGACAGGAAAGGAAGTTAGTGGTGAGGACATCTGCTGCCGGGTGTGCATCCGCCAAAGCCTCAGGATGCCCAGCGCGTCCCGCAGACCGCGCCGCTCCTTCTCTGCCCGTGGCTGGCTGCTGCTCGTGAGCCTGGGTGGAGGGAAAGCAGGCCGGGACAGGACTCAGCCCAGTGTGACGGGTCACGCTCGTGGCCATAGCCCTGCACAGCAGGCTGGGGGCAGGCTCCAGGGAGCCCTTTTCCTCGCTCCCGCTGAGCACCGACATCCCCGCCGCGGAGGGCGCTTTGGAATCCGTTACTTGGGTGGGTGCAGGCGTCCCTGTGGATGGCTCCATGAGCTCCGGGCTCTGCGGAGGAGTTATGCACTTAAAAGCAGAAAAAAAGTACCACGTGAAAGACTGTTTTGCTTTATACATACATACATACATGCATGCATGCATACATACATGTGTGTGCGTGTGTGTACATGCGCACACACGCGCACACACACACATGCCAGTTTGGCAGCTTGAATTTAGGGCTTGCGTTCTGACCCTGAGCTTTTTTGCTCAAGGCCAGCACTCTATTATTTGAGCCACAGCCCCGCTTCTGGCTTTTTAGTAGTTAACTGGAGATAAAAGTCTCATGGACTTTCCTGCCCAGGCTGGCTTTGAACCCCCAATCTTCAGATTTCACCCTCTTGAGTAGCTTGGACTACAGCATGAGCCACCAGTTGTCCAGGTTGGTTATATTTTTTCTTTTTCTTTTTCTTTTTTTTTGTCGGTCGTGGGGCTTGAACTCTGGGCCTGGGCGCTGTCCCTCAGCTCTTCAGCTCAAGGCGAGCGCTCTACCACTTGAGCTACAGTGCCACTTCCGGTTTTCTGGTGGTTATTGGAGATAGGAGTCTCACGGTCTCTCCTGCCCGGGCTGGCTTTGAACCGTGATCCTCAGATCTCAGCCTCCTGAGTAGCTAGGATTACAGGCGTGAGCCACCAGCGCCCGGCTATTTTTTCTTAATACTATGTCATCTTCCAAATTTACTAACAGCTCTTATTTTTACCTAAACTTTTTGCGTTGGCTTTTTACCAGTGCTGGGTAGCAATCCCAGGATGCTTTGGTCAAAGTTCAAATGGAACTTCCTCGATCAGACTGCCCTAAATGCCTTAAAAAAAAGATGTGGCTAGCAGGTGCGGCTGGGTCAGGACTCTAATCTGAGCTACTCAGGAGGCTGAGATCTGAGGATTGAAGTTCAAAGCCAGACAAGGTAAGAAAGTCCAGCAAAAAGCCAGAAGCGGAGCTGTGACTCAGGTAGTAGAGCACTAACTCAGATCCTGAGCTCAAGTCCCAGGCAGGACAGGCAGACACACAGAAAGTATGCATCTAGAGAAAGCTGGTCTGAACCATTCAACACCCCAGCAGGTCTCCCGGCTACAAGAGGCAGGCTTCTCCCATCATAGAACCCCTCCTTTCCTCCAAGCAACACTTGTGCTCTGTGGGAGGGAGTGATAAGCCCCTCGGGCCCTGCATGCCTGGCTATGGAAAAGAGTAATTCCAGCATCAAGACTACACAAAAGCAAATCCATCCTTCCAAACTAGAGCTTTCCACAATACTTTCAGATTCTCAAAATGTCTAGAGTGGCTTGAACCCACTGTCTCTGTACTGCTCCCCAATAATTCCAAATCCTCTCCAGCTACTCCATGGAAGGGCCGATTCTGAGAACTGAACAACCCATAGCCAGGCCAGAGCTCACAAGCCTTTGCCCTCTCCAAACCTGCGCTTCTGCAGTGGCAGCTTCCTGCCTGAGCCCTCCCATCTGTTTTGTTAGTAATGTATAGGTCTCAACTTCACTCTAACATACTAGTTTCTCTAAGCTATTTCTTACATGTAGTACATTATGAATTAAAAGTAAAAGACAGTCACTTCTGCACCTAAATCACACAAAATCCATTTTCCTAGCAGGCAGAGATACCAGTTTTGGCAAGCAAGACAAGCCAAGGCCCAGCTTTTCTCATCTCTCCTCCTCTCCCTGCCCCCCCCCACCCCCCCCCCCGCCCCGCCCCGACATGGACCCTAAGTTGGGTCACTGGGAAAATCTAAGACCCCACCTCAAGTCTCCCTAGCAAGGTGAGTTTCACTTTCCCACATCCATCCTCCAACAGCAGGTTTCATCAGATGCACGCGGCCATGCAGCTATTGCAGTTAGGATTAAGCAACATTTGCAAGAGAGGAAGGGTTTTACCCTTTTGCATCCACAGAGTAGGACAGGCTACTTGCTGGCTAGCACCCCAGTGAATCTTTCCACAGTTTTGTTTTTTTTTCCCTCCCTGGTCCTGGGACTTGAACTCAGGGCCCAGATGCTGTCTCTAAGCCTCTTTGTGCTCTAGCCTAATACATTTATCACTAGGGCCACAGAGCCACTTCTGGATTTTTCTGAGTAGTTTATTGGAGGTGTCTCCTGGGGACTTTTCTGTCTGGGCTGGTTTCAAACCACGATCCTCAGAGCTAAGCCCCCTGAGTAGCTAGGAGTATAGGAGTGAGCCACCAGCTCCTGGCTGCCCAAGTTCTTCAACACATTTACTGACGTCACTCTAGGAAGCTCACAAAGTGTGCCCCGCCCCACCACCCACACACTTACCAGAGTTGAAAAAGAGTGGAAGTCCTTTGGCAGCTCAGGTACAGTGGCATCCATCAGCACGCTGTTGCTGACATCCCCAGAGTCGGAGATAGGTGTGAGGGGTCTCATCTTTAACAGGTCACCTTTCTGGACTCTCTGGCCCCAGGAGCTCATGCAAACAAGAGCCTCGACAGCTTCAATGTCTGTCTGCTCCAAGATGCTGCATGTGGACCTCTCGCTGTCGTGCCGCTTCCGCTCCAGGATCGACTCACAGATGCCCATGATAGCAACCTGAAGGCAACACAACACAGTGACCTCTCAGTGCAGGAGAGAAACCGGGAAGGAATACTCACAGGCACGGCTGAGCGCACCAGCAGCCTCCACTACTCGAGTGACACACATGTACCACTACGGAGCAGACAGCTGTGTTCTAGTATAAACCTTCCTTGGTACGTTCATGGCAGCTTTGCTTTGACTGGACTTGGATGGAGCTGACCTAGGGTGGCCCATGCCTGTGACCCTACCTACTCAGGAGGCCGAAACCTGAGGATCATGGTCAAAGCCAGGGCAGGCACAGAAGTCTGTGAGACTTTTATCTCCAATTAACCAGCAAAAAGCCAGAAGTGGAGGTGTGCTCAAGTTTAGAACACCAGCCTTGAAAAAAAAACAACAGGAGACTACAGGGCCCTCGATTCAAGCTTTAATACTACTACGAGTGAGCACAAACATACACAAACAAAGACTGGACTTGGTTAGGAAGTGGTTTGCACTGATTCAGATTCTTTTTTTCTTTCCTTTTGTGTGTGTGCGCGCTTGCACGCCAGTATTAGGATTTGAACTCAGAGCCTAGGTGCCATCCCTTAGCTTTTCCTGTTCGAGGATGACATTCTACCACTTGAGTCATAGCTCCATTTTTAGCTTATGGCTAACTGAGATAAAGATCTCACAAACTTTTATCTGGCTGGGCTGACTTTGAATCTTAATCCTAAAATCTCAGCCTCCTGAGTAACTAGAATTACAAAGACAGGCAACCAACACCTGGTTAAAACTATGACTCTTAAAGACTAAGTTTTTTTCTTGTGTAAATGATACTTAAGGCTATCTCCAGGGTATATTAAGCTAAAAAGGCTAGCAGGAAGGTGTGTCACCGGGAAGATGAAGGGAAGAGGAGGCAAAATCTGGTGTGAGAGGCACTCAGATGAAGTTGAGTTGGCAAAGTCATCAAAGTAGTATCTCTGCAGTAGTCATCAAAGTAGTCTCTCTACCATTTGAGCCACAACAACTCCACCTCCAGCTTTTCTGGGTCATTAACTGGAGGTAAGAGTCTCCTGCACTTTCCTGCCTGGGCTGGCTTTGAACCATGATCCTCAGATTTCAGCCTCCTCGTGTGAGCCTCCGGTGCCGGGCTTGCAGAAGCATTTTTAAAGATGGCAGCACTCACCCATATCCCCAAGCTCAATCTCCCAAGGATGGAGGGAACTAGCTCTCCGGGCTCCAACGCAAGTATGTCCTCAGCAAATTCAGAACCATGCAGTCAGGGTCACGGCTGGCAGCAGGAGGTCGGAGGGCATCCTCCCGCCTCGCCTGCCCCTGCCCCGGGTGGGGAGGTGGGGCAGCGCTCTGCCACCCTGCTTCCCGGTGGGTGGGCAGCGGTAAGGCAACCTCTGCAACTGCCCCCCAGCAGGGTGTCACAAAACCAGCCCTGAGGTCAAAGACGGCCCTCCCGGCAGGTGGAAGCGGTCTCGCCATCACCTTGCGCCTCGCCATCGCCCGACCCCAGTCGGGCCCACAGTGCAGCGCCCAGAACCCAACAGGTAGAGCCCCGCCCTCGGCGGGCAGCGTTCCCGCCAGGCGCCCCGGCCCCGCCCCGCCCGGCCCCGCCCCCCTCGTGGCGCGTTCCCGCCAGCCGCGCCCCCCCAACGGCCGCCTGCCACACAGGGCCCGGGTGACGTCATGGCTGGAAATAACCCCGCGCCGGGAGGGGCGGCCGCGGGCCTCGAGACAAAGCTGAGCGGCGGCGGCGCGGGGCACGCCCCCCGGGCCGGCCCAGCCCGGCCGACCCCGCGCCGCCGCCGCCCCGCCCCGCCCCGCCGCAGAACCCGCCGGGCCGCCGCGGCGAGGGCCCGCGCACTCCCCACCCCCCCCGCCCAGCGCGCGCGCTCCGGCCCCGCACCGCCGCACGTCCGCAACCTCGCCCCTAACTCAGACCCGAGTCCACGCCCGCGCCACTCACCGCGCGCGCGTCGCCCGGGCCCGCAGATCCCGGCGCGTGCATGATGCCGGCGGCCTGGAGGCGACAAAGCCCCGAGTGTTAGCTCGGCGCGCGGCGGCAGCCGCACGGGCACGCGGGCTGCGCGGCGACCGGAGCTCTAGCGGCCGGCGTGCGCCTCCGCCCGCCCGCGCGGCTCAGCCCCGGCGCGGCCCTCGCGGCGCGGGGGGCGGGACGCCGCGGAGGGAGCGGCCGGGGGCGGGGCGCGCGGGCAAACCAAAATACACCGCGCCCTGGAGGGGGCGGGCCTGCCGCCCCCAGCCAATCCGCGCTCGGCTCGAACGCGGCCGGCCAATGGGCGCTGAGGAGGGCCGCGTGATCGGAGCCTGGCCGCGGCGTGATCAGGCCGAGCGAGAGGCGGCACGTGTTTTGGTCGGGGGCAGGGGGCGGGGCCTGAGGCCTGGAAAGTAGGGGAAAGGTCCCGGCGGCGGCGCGGCGGCGGCGGGGAAGTCCCTGCCGGGCCCGCGCGCCGGGGACACGGACGGCGCGGACCCGGGCCGCCTGCAGCCCGCGGAGGGGCGGCACTCCCTCCGAGTTCGCCGGGTCCGGCAGAGGAGGCCCACCCGGAGGGCTCAGTTCTGCCGTAGGAGCGCGTCCCGTTCCCGTTCCTGCAGATCCGGAACCCGGTACCCCCGCACCAGGCGTCTCCGGGCGGCCCGGGAAGCCGAGGGGTATCGGAAGTGTCCCGGTTGTTCCCAGGGCAGGTGGTCAGTCTCTGGCTCGGGTGACCGACAGCTGGCCTCTGTACTAATAATGTGCACACCTCAGGGCATGCGATGCGTTTATACGGCTCTAAATTCTTGGAAAGCAGGAGCCGTGGTGCGTGCGTGTGTGCGTGTGTGTGTCCGTGTCCCATCTGCAGGACAAAAATGGGACACCCCGGAGCCCCTGTTTGCAGAGCTCTGATCGGCCCAGCGAGAGGCAGAAAAGCTCACAGCACGAGAGAGCAGCCAGGAGCCTGGCACCCAGGCCGACTGGCCTCACCTCCCACCAGCCAGCACCGAGCTAGACCAGGGCCCTCGTTCCTGCAGGTTGCGTAGAAAGAGAGGGAAATGTTCCAAGTGACCGTGGAAATGTTTACAGATGAATTAACTACGTTTAATTGTTTCCCTAAAGTCCTCTAGAGTCTCTTAGGAAGGAAAACGGATCTGCCCAGAAGTTCCTCTGCCAGTTAAAGTTGGCTGTTTTGCCTGGTTGCCTCTACTTGCACTCAGGGCCTGAGCACTGTTGCTGAGCTTTTTCTGCTTAAGGCTAATGCTCTGCCACTTGAGCCACAGCTTCACTTTTTTTTTTTTTTCCCCTGATTAATTGAAGATAAGAGTCTCTTGGATTTGTCTTCCTGGACTGGCTTCCAACTGTGATCCTCAGATCTCAGCCTCCTGAGTAGCTAGGATGACAGGGGTGAGCATTGGCATCTGGCTTTCCAATAGCATTTTCTGTTCCTAGAATGCTTTTACTAATGTACATGCTCTGATCTTACCTGTTGTTCCCCAGTAGGTCTCCTGTCTCCTGTCCCAACAGTCCAGATGTGGCCTAGTTCTTGTTCCTCTGCCCTCTCCTTGTCTATTGGCTCTATAGCACATTTCCTGATCTGTACCTTTCCTGGTTGGTTGCTTGCTCACTGCCTGTCTTCTCCAGGGATCTTGTCTCACTTGTCCATGTAGGTACATGCTTAACAGCTGTTAATGGACTGAGTGACCGAAGGTGAACACCTGCTGACCTCTCCAGGCAAACCTCAGACACCTCTGAACTATTTTACCAAATCTGGGGTTCTCCTGTCCAAGGTGGATATCTTGTACCTTGTTCCTTGATCTAGAAGTTCCAGTTAGCTCTGACTTCTCTTCCTTTGTTTGTTTCCTTTTTCTGATTAAGTGCTTTTTCTTCCCAAACACCTCTCAAAACATCTCTCACCCACCCCTGCCTTGGGCCAGGCCACCAGGCTGGCTCACCCGAGTGACTGTCACTGCCTTTCAAGGGGTCTCACGATCTCCAGCCTGACCCCCAGACGCTGCCCTCACACCACGAGAAGGATCTTCCCGCAGTAGAGATGATAGCAAACCTTCAGTTGGCATCCAACCAGCCAGAGATCCCTTAATCTAACTGCAGCCAGCACTTCCTGCATTATTTCCAGCAGACTCCCCTCATTGTCTCTCCTCGGCCTTCCTGCCCCCTTTCCAGCCCCAAGCATTCAGTGTAGGCCAAGTCACCATCTTTGTTTTACTGGTGGCCTGAAACATGCCAGTGCAGATCTACTTAGATCCTGCTGCTCCCTCAAGTGGCTGTACGGCTTGCACAAGGCTGTACTGGTGGGTCCTGGGCCCACCTGGATCATGCTCTGACAATATAACCTTAGCCACGTCCCCGGCCTGCTTCACTCCTGCAGACCTCAAGACCTGGCATGGCAGCTGGGCTTGCCCCAGACTGTCCCTGTACTTGGAGGTCAGGTATACGCTGGGTGGGAAGGGATTGACTCGGGGCCTTTCAGGGATAAGCCCCAGTTGTTCCCTCCGCTAGCCCATCTTCTGGTCAGGCAGGCAGGTGGTAGCTGATGGGGCCATGCCGGTAGTCACAGGGATGTTGATACTGTTTATAAGCTGGAGACCATGGCAGGTTATCCATTCAATGGTCACTGAAACCCTTATAGCTCTTCTAAAGAGTGTGGTCTACTGGGCAGACTTAACCATGAACCCCCAAGCCAGAATGCCACCACTCCTGTGTGTCTCCCCAGTCTGTGTGTGCATGCACGCTACTGTCCAGAGCATAGCACACTAAACCCTTCAGAGCCTGGCTCGTGCACTTCACAATAGGTCTGGACTATTACTATAGAGTACCAAGCCCTAAAGATCAGTTTCATTCTTTGTAATGGTTAAGTAATATGCCATAGCATTGAGGGTTTAGGTTGCTTGCCATTTGCAGGAACATCGTGACTATCCATTGTTTGCCCATTTGCAAGAATACCTGTAGGACTAGCTCCCAGAAGGGCAATGGTGGAGTTAAGGGCTCTGTGCACCTCCTTCCCTTTTCTGGCTTCTCTCCCCTCCTACCTTACCCTTCCCTTTTCTCTCCTCCCACCCTACCCTTCCCTCCTCTCCCCTCCTCTTTTCTCATTGAAGTTTCATTGCTTTAAAAAAATGTTTTTGTGTTATTATGGCCATAGGAAAATATAATAATTGATGTGTTCAAGTTAATGAGCTTATGTGTGTACACGAGAGCGTGCGTGTGCTAATCCTGGGCATGCCTCCAGTTCGGCATTTTTGCTGCTTAGAGATGAAGTCTTGTGTATTCTTCTGCCCTGGTTAGCTTCGAATTGCAGTTCTCAGATCTCCGCATCTTGAGCAGCCAGGATTTCAGTCATGAGGCACCGGACCACCCAGCTTGCACTGCTTGATTCTTCATGTATTAAAAACATAGAATCAGGCCTGCTGCAGCTCTGGGCCTGGTCATTTCTCCCAGTGTGCTGTTACATGGGGTTGGGCTTTGTTCATTGGCATTGCTGAATAGTAGAAAAACCACAATGTATCAGTTTGTTGTTGACCCTAGGATTGTTGGAGGTCTGGAGCTGTTATGGGTGAGGCTGAGGTGAAAATTCTGAGAGGGGTGTGTGTGGGTTTTATGACCAGAGATCAACAAGCTGCTGCTGTCTAGCATGCTGCTGTGACCTTTCACCCCACTGAAGGGCGGAGTCAGGGGAGAAAAAAGTATGCAAATCAGGGAGGGGCTGATGGGGAAAAGGGGCTGGTGAAGGGGGAGAAGGGGAACACAAGACAGGAAGCCATGGGTAGGCAGAAGAAGGGACTTGCTTTGTTGTGGGCATGGGGGGCAGGGATAAGAAAGGTAAGCCGGCTGGAGATGCAGGGACATTCTAGAATTGAGGAGAGGTCAGGGTGCTCCATGTGTGTTCCACCATCTTAGTGAGCTGTGAGGAACAGCCACGGGCTGGAGGCGAGGCTCTGGTGAGGCCGAGGCTGGGTGTCCTGAGAAGCTGGAATTGACCCAGAGAGGGTGGGAAAGACAACAGACAGTCACGCCCCCCACCCGACCCCCCCCCCACCCCCACCCCCACCCCCGGTGCCAAGAACCCAGCACAAACGGCAGAACAGCCCTGGACAACTGATTAGGTTCCTGTAAGTCCTGGTATAACTCGCAGGTCCCTTGAGCAGGTCCTTGAGTCTGCCTTATGACGTGCAGAATTGAGGTAGGATCAGGCTCTGGATTTCTAGGCAGCCTTGGACTCTGCTCATATTAATTTTTGTGGTTTTGTTATGAATAAGAAAAAATGTCAAGCCCCTCTCCCCCCGCCCCTCCCCCCAGTGATGCTCTGGTTGTAATGTGCGTGGCAACTTGCACATGTTGGAAATTTCCTGTGTGATGTGTTGGGACCTTTAAGAAGCCGTTATTTGGGCTGGGAAGGTGGCTCAGTGGTAGAGTGCTTGCCTTGCATGCATGAGGCCCTGGGTTCGATTCCTCAGTACCACATAAACAGAAAAATCCAGAAGTGGCGCTGTGGCTCAAGTGGTGGAGCTCTAGCCTTGAGCTGAAGAGCTGAGGGACAGCGCCGAGGCCCAGAGTTCAAGCCCCACGACCACCACCACCACCAACAACAACAAAAAGAAGAAGGAGGAGGAAGAGGAAGGAGCAGCAGCAGCAGCAGCAGCTGTTACTCCATGCGGGGTCATTCTCTAATGAGCGGACTCAACCCCTGGGGCCCTTACAAAAGGAGAAGCACGAGCCCTTTGCTCACGCTCTTGCTCTTTTCTTTGCCCTCTCTTTGCACTTCTGCCCTGGGATGGCACTGCAAGAAGCCCATCACCAGAACTGGTGCCTTGAACTTGAACTTCCCAGCCTTTAGAACTATGAACCAATGTTGAGATTGAACTTGATCTTTTCAGTGTTATTGGAATATTAGCAGGTTGATTATAAAAGTGCCCAGCTTGGGATACTGTGTTATAAGTGGTTCAAAATGGACGAAACATAGAGTTAATTATGTACAAGGGCCGGGCGCTGGTGGCTCACGCCTGTAATCCTAGCTACTCAGGAGGCTGAGATCTGA